AAAAAGAAAAAGAAAAAACCTCAACAAGAAAAATGCCCTAACCAGAGTGAGAATACCTAAAAATGTCTTTTTCTTTCCTAAGTTTCCTCCTCTTCTCATATGTCAAAATTATAGACAAAAAACGCATCTATCTATACTACTATTAAAAGTGGGAATGAGGTCTAGATTCTGGAATTTTTCTGATCTAAAATACCCCTATTACTGAATTTGGTCACTCTTTATTATAAGGGCAAAAAACATAATTTGAACTACTACTTATAATAAATCTATTCCATTTTCTCTTATTAAATAAATGAGCTTCGTGGGCTTTTTCTTGACTAAAACACCCCTACTTTTGAATTTGGTCCTTTCTAACTGTGGGGGCAGAGAATGTAATTTAAACTATTACTTTTCATTTCATTCAATTCCCTCTCATTAAGGTGTTAACTCCCATTCTCCCTCCTTAGATCCTTTATTTGAAGTATTTTTGTTTCTCACCAATAAATTCTACTTTTTTTGGCAAGAACTCTACTAATTAAATTTATACCCAATAATTTTAACAATACAAAACCTATGTGTTCAAACCCAACATGGAAACTGAACTATCCTTTTGTTGGTGTAGCAGGTACATAGTTCATCTATCTAGCAACCAATGGTCTCATAGGTAAATAATAAAGGTTTAAAAATAAATAAAAATTAAGAATTACAAAAAAAGAAATTAAGCACACCTATAAAATTATATATTTATCATGTTAAACAAAAATAAGTATGGAAAATGAGAAGTGTTCTTATTAATGATGGAAATGAAACAGAAAATTTAAAACTGACCTAGAAATGAAACCATTTTCCTATTCAAGTGGCAAGTCAATGGTTCAACCTTTTAGGTCAAATTGGTCAACCCACATTGTCATAATTAAATAAAAAAATAAAAATGCAGGGACAGATTATTAAAAAAATACAAAAAATTGTAGAAAACATTTGGGTACATCTCTAATATTATGTATTTCATCATACTAAACAAAAATAAGTGTGATAAATAAGATTTATTTTTATTATTTGATGGAAATATAACAAAAATTTAAACTAACTAAAAAACAAAACCATTTTTCATCTAATTGGTGGTTAGTAACCCATATAGGTACAAATTGGGCAGGCTCAATCTGAGCCTAAACAAACCCACCTTGCAATTTTGGATGAACTGGCTTGGATTTTCTGTCCTCGGGCTAGGCCTAAGCCTAGGCCCAAAAGTTTGGGCTCTTCTATTTTTTGAGCTGTGACCATGCATGCCTAACCTTAAGTAGCTCGAGCTTGGCCTAACTAATCCAAACCTGAGCCCAAGTGCTTCAAATTTCAATGCGAGCTAGGCCCAGGTTGGATAGATCAAACTTGACTTTGGGCTCAAGCATTAGGCCCAATGCATAGGGTTGGGCCTAGGTTAAGCACAAACTTGGCTCAACCTACACAACTTGCACCCTAATGGTCCAATCATTTGGGTAAAATGGGCCAACCAATGATGTCATAATTAAATAATAAATGTAAAGAATACATAGAATTACAAAAACAAAAATATAAGTGTGATAAACAAGTAATGGAATAGAAAATTTAAAATTTCCCAAAAATGAGATTGTTTTCTCTTCCAGATCAAATAGGTCAACACATGATGTCATAATTATATATTAAAAACTCAAAAATATATAGAAAAATTATAAAAAAAATACAGAAATTTGTCAAAAGAAATTGTGCACATCTCTATCATTATATGTTTATCATGTTAAACAAAAAAAAATATGATAAATAAGAAGCATTTTTATTAACAACGGAAATAAAATAAAAAAATTTAATTCCACCAACACACCATGCTTTAACTGCTTATCTTTTTTAATGGATTCTAATAAGGATATTAAAATTATTATTGTTTTCTGAAATTGCCACATGCAACACACGTGCACATTTACCAGTAATTTAAAAAAGTACAAAGGCATCTGAATGATTAGGGGTGCATATCAGGCCAGGTTAGGTTGGATTGAGGTCAACTGTTGCCCAACCCAAGGAGTTGAAATCCCAGGTTCAACCTTCAAACCAATGTAGTCAACCCTAACCCAACCCAATCTTGTATTCTTCAATCCTAACCAGCTCAACCCAACCCAAAAGTAACATTGGGTTTGGCTGAGCTTGGGTTGGGTTTGGATGGCCTGGTTTCTTCATTTCTTAGACTTACAGTTATCCTATTAGGGTTAACCTTAAAAATATGGGGAGAATGCTATGGTGCTTTAGGAATACTATACCTAACTTGCACCAAAATATCTTAGCCTTCAAACCTGAAATTATTTTGGTTCAAGTTGGGTCAGGTTGCCAAATGTCTCAACCCTAACACAACCCGAAGTTATCATGTGCATATTTTTCAACCCTAACCTAACCTTCAACCCAACCCAATCGAACCCAATCTTTCTAGGTAGGGTTCAGGTTAACTTGGCCCAAGTTGCACCTTTAACTAATGTTATCAAAGAGTTAACCTCAAGTTTTCATTATGTAAATGAACCTTAGTTTGAAATTGGGCTCATCTGGCAAGCTGTTGTGAGATGAGCTCAGGGGCAGCTCATGACAAACCAAGCTTCAGATGAAGCCAATGTAATATTACTGATTGACAGCCTAACTTGTGACATATCCACAAGTCATAATTACAGTTGGAAAGAAAGAAAATATTTGGATGCATGGAACTGTATGAATAGAAAAATGACAAAATCAATAGTCATATGAGTAAAAGGCAAGGCATCTTAATGTATTTAAAGCAGGGATCTATATTTCAGAACACTAAGGCCCAGTTGAGGACCTTGAATGAGCAAAAATGGAATAAGAATACAATAAATATATCATGCCCACCTTCCTTTTCATCTCCTTAAGCATGTCCTCAAGTCCTGCTCGATGTGCACCAAGGCTCTCCAATTGCCTCTACACAGATTCAGAATATTATATCAAAGATGCATTTAATATCTAAAATAACATATTGTAATCTAACTAAACCAACTACAACAGCACGATTCATGAAAATATATTCCATCGAATTCAGTACAAATGAGCAATTTAACAGGAAAATGTGTTGTTGAACATGTCAGTGAAACCCATTTGGGGATCCTTCCAATCTTATGGAAAGGAAGGACCATGTAAATCCGTGTGTTGTTACACATTTTCATAATCAGTAAAATTATCTATTTATCTTGCTAAAAAACAACTAACAGTAGTGTGTATATTTCACATTAGGGCTTCTATCAAAACACTAAAGTGAAATCATAGGCCTGGCTGAGGGTATCAACAACTACTAATTCAACCTCAAGGAAAATAATTGCATATGACACAAAATGTGCCACCTTTTTATTAATTTCACCCACTTATACTACCACAGTACCATCCTTCCCCCATTAAACCGTAATTCCTCACTTTCACAGAAGAAAAATGAAGACTGTGCCACAGCCCAACACAGAAGCTTCCAACCACATCAATCACTTTCCTGTCCACATCATAGTCCACAACCATTTGCCTAAAAATATCTTGCTAATTAACTGAAGGAGTTTTAATCCTTAGCCTCCTTAGCACAAGATACATCTTTTTTATTTTTCTTATCTCCATCTGTTAATTCTCCTATATTTTGATGGGCTGGGGCAGACACTATGAGGTAGAGGTTCACGTTTGTGGTAGAACATGTCATTTTGTCAACAGAGCAAGTTACAGGTTATATTCTGCTTCACATCATGGAAATTTGTTTCAATGCTTATTTTGTTCCATAAGAATTATCCTGGAACCCTCTCCTACAGTTATTAGGCATTTGCATAAAGCACCTAATTAGCTTTTAGTTTTTAGAGAAAGTGATAAGAAACAGGCTCTTTTCAACGTTATTCTGCTTTTGGCAGGTTTATGGCTTTCTCTGAACCTTTTTTCCTATACAAGTCATTTAACAAAATATTACTGAATGCCAAAAATTCATTTTTCACTTAAGAGACAATTGGAGGATGTCAAAGAGATTGTGGTTGGAATTGAAGAGGTGGATGTCAGAGAGTCTCAGGGTCTATTGGAAGAGGGAGATAGGGTGTTAAGGGGGTCGCCTAAGAGACAATTGGAGGACATTTTGCTAAAAGAGGAGATTAGTTGGAGACAAAATCGAGGGTTCAATGGATTCAAGAGGGAGGTAGGAATACAAAGTATTTTCATGCTGTGGCTAGTGCAAGAAGAAAGAATTTTATCTCTAAGCTGGAGATAGATGGGGAGGTCATATCTCAGCAGGGAGCAATTGCAAGGACCTTTATGGAACATTTTAAATCAATTTATAGAAGGCCGTTAGATGAAAATTTGTGGGCTGATGGTTTGGATTGGCTTAGCCTTTCGGGAAACCAAAAGTTTTGGTTGCAAAGACCTTTTGAGGAGGAGGAGATCAAGAAGGCGGTGTTTTCTTTGGATAGAGCCAAGGCTCCAGGACCAGATGGTTTCACTATGGCTTTCTATCAAGATTGTTGGGAAGTGCTAAAAAAGGATCTAATGGGGGCTTTCAATGAGTTCTTTGAAAGGGGAATAATAAATCCAGGTGTGAACTCCACATTTATTGCCTTGATTCCTGAAAGAAGTGGAGCTAGTCACCCAAAGACTTTAGACCCATAAGCTTAGTGAATAGTTTGTACAAAATTCTAGCTAAGGTCATGGCTCTAAGAATCCGGGAAGTCCTCCTCTACCTCATAACTTCCAATCAAGAGGCTTTTGTCCAAGATAGGTAAATCATTGATCAAATCTCCGAATGATCTAAAAGCATACATGCAAAAAAAAAGACGTTTGAAGTGAAGTGGAGAGATTAAAAAGAGATATTGAGGGGGACAAGAAGTTTGAAGTGAAAGGGGATAGAAGAAAAGGGTCTAAATAGATCTTGGAGGAGTTAGGGTTAAGGCTAAGAGTTTTCAATGAGAATCCTAAGTTGGAATGTGAGGGGGTTGGGCAGCATTAGGAAGAGAGCGACAATTAAAGAGGTAATTAAGAAGTTTAATCCGGATGTGGTAATACTTCAGGAGTCCAAAAAAATGGAATTTGATTGCAAATGGGCAAGGAGTGTGTGGAGTTCTAGGGGTATAAAGTGGGTGGTTGCTCCTTCGTGGGGTTCCTCAAGAGGGATTGTGACCCTGTGGAAAGAAGATTTACTCATAGGTGTGGAGGAGCTAATTGGAGATCATTCTGTCTCCTAAAGTTCAGACAGGTGGACGATGGGTATGAATGGGTGGGTACTAACAAATGTGTATGGCCCCAATGACTATAGGCAGAGGGAGAAATTATGGGAAGAATTGAATGACATTAGAGGCCATCTGGGATGGACCTTGGTGTGTGGGAGGGGATTTTAATGTAGTGAGATTTACAGAGGAAACCAACAACCCCAGACAGAGAGTAACAACAAGTATGAGGAAGTTCAACCAATTTGTGGACTCTTTTGAACTTAAAGAACTTCACTTGGTCCAACCTTCAATCTAGGCCAATTTGCTCTAAGTTGGACAGCTTTTTGTTCTCAACAGATTGGRAGGAACATTGGGGCAATATTACTTCTAGGGCTCTCCCAAGACTTACTTCAGACCACTRGCYTATAGTGTTGGTCAAGGAGGAAATAAGAGSAGTTGGGCCTACCCCTTTCAGGTTTGAAAACATGTGSTTGACTCATCCGGGTTTCATTGAGAAGATCAGAGAGTGGTGAGAGCAAGCTAATCCGGTAGTTGATTGGGAGGGAATGAGGTTCCACAAGAAACT